GGGGGGGGGGGTTATGAATCACCAAAGAAAGTTAAAGGAAAGGTTACGAAAAATTACAAAATTACTGCATACTTCTTAAAAAATACAAGAGCTTCCCGTATCAAGGATGAATCGAAATTTATAGAAAGACATTTCATAGATAACAAATTCATTGAAAGGGCTTTTCATATACAGGACATTTCATAGAAGAGAATATTTTTGATAGACAGCGAGAAGAATTTTCATGAATAAGTAATTTCATAGACAGGAAACCAGTTTTCTTGTTCACAATTTTAGAACATGTGATCAGTTTGAGATACATGTATTTTTGTTAAAAATGCATATAAATATATTCTTTGCAATTTTTGTTTTTCAGCCGAAGAATTATCAATAATATAATAAAATAATAATACAGTAATAACCAGAAAACTTTGGAATAGGAAGACTACATTTATGTAATAAGTGAATTTTATGTGATAAGAGAGCTAATAGTTTTGGCAGTAGCTTGAAAATCAATTTATGGAGGGAAATGGGCCAGTTTGCACTGCACAACCGCTGTGTCTCATGTTTATTGGACAATTTAAAGGGTAATAATTGTTAGATTACTTCGAAGAAAAAAAAATCTTTTCTACTGTCTATGAAATGTCCTTTCTATAAAATGGCTTATCCATCCATGGAAAATCCTTCATGGACATGATTATGTGGATAAAAACAAATGGTTTAGCTCAGCCTATGCACCTGGTGAAAATGAAAGACAAACCATAATGTCCAGTGATCCTTTGAATCTGAAGTTACCTGTGTTGTGCACACTGAAATACGAAGAAACTTTTTAGTGCAAGAGTTATCAATATTTGGAATGATATTCCATATGAAATCAAAAGTGCTGGAAACCTGAACATTTTCAAAAACAAGCTCGATAACTGGCTGAATTCCTGAACGGCCAATGCAGTCGGAAAAGAGATGTTTTAAATTATCACACCCATGATATATAAACATAATCACACCAATTAAACCAATTAAACCAATTAAAAATGTCCTACCAATGAAATGTTCTACAAATTAAATGTCCTGTCTACAAAAGCCAACTCATAATTTTTAAAAGTTAAGTTAGCAAATTCAGAATTTATTTATTTAGTTTATCACTTTTACATGAGTTTTCAAGTGTCTTTTCAAATTGAAGCTTTGGGTAAAAGAGTCTTCACATAACATACATTTAAATGGTTTAAGTCCTGTATGAATCCGTTTGTGCTTGGATAAGTTAGATGTTCCTCTGAATTTTTTACCGCAAGTTGGACATTCAAGCAGTTTTTCACCAATATGAATTCTCCTAATGTGGACATGCATGTGACTTGACGTAGAAAAAGGTTTTTGACAAAATTTGCAAACGTATGGTTTCTCTCCATTATGATTTCTCATGTGCTTTGTCACAGTATCAGAGAATGCAAACGATTTGTTGCATATCTTGCAGGAAAAGGGTTTTTCTCCAGTGTGTGTTCTCATGTGCTTGTCCACAGTAGATTTTAATGCAAATGATTTACCGCATATATGACAAGTACACTGCTTCTCCCCATGAATTTTCATGTGTTGCTTCAGATTTAACTTACCTTTAAAAGTTTTATGACAAACTATACAAGAAAAAGTTTTATCCTCATGAATTTTCATGTGCTTTATCATGTCGGTGTAAACCTCAAACGATCTATCGCAAATAGTACAGGGAAAGAGTTGTTCGTGGATTTTCATATGTTGAATTATGCCGTGATCAGAGAATCTCAATTCCCCGCAGATAGGACAGGTTATACTCTCTTTAGTAGTTCCTTGCTTGTGGTCTTCACCAGTGTCATGGTTTTCTTCTTCTATAGTTTCTACAGTTATATGACGAGCTACAGCTAGTGCTAGTTCGTCTGTTTCAGGGTTTCCAGAATCAGCTTGTAATCCCTGTTTTGGTTGTAATCCAGGATTAAGGTGTAATCCATCATCCTTCTCAAGAATCTAAACAAAAACAAAACTTTGTAATTTTTAAAATTCAAAATGCGACTTTTTATTTCTTGATTAAGACTCAAAACATGCAAACTTTGCAACACATTATTAATTTCAGTAATATTTTTCATGTACTTCAGTGCTCCCCAAAATAATTTGGAAAAAAAGAAACATAATTAATTTAGTAAACTTAATCACTAGAATCGATCCAGATTTTAAAGGCTGAAGGCTGTATGTTGGGGGGGATGAGGTTTAGAATTGTCATTTTTTTAGATCTGACGTTAATAATCATAACAAATATTTTTGTATATTGATCTGCAAGCATTAACTGAATACAAACAAAAACTCAAGAATGTCCTGCTTTAAATACGTTTTTTTGTTGACGTTTTTTAACATTTTTTTACCCCCCCCCCCTCCTCATTGAGGTCCATAGTATGTTTCACAAAAAATGGTCTCAATCGGTTTCGCTGTTTTGACTCTTTATGAAAATAAACAAAACAAAAATTAATTACCTTAGGTTGCTTACAGTTTTCTCTTTGGTCGAATTCTTCTTCAAAAATCTCAACTTTCAAAAATTCTGTTTCTCCCATGAAGCCCTCGGCGCCAACCTGAAATATAATTGGTCTTTATTTACATTTTTATGGGACTGCGTCGTAATTCTAAGAGACCCTCCATTTCAAGAGAAAGCATGCCCGATTCACAATGGTACCATTGAGCCCTTAATCTGATAAAATTATGACAGTTACATCGTTCTTCTCCAAAGTTGGTCTCGTAAATAAATTCACCTTTGTAGAGAAAACACAACTCAAATAATCAGTTTTCAAAATCAATTAATTTCTAATTCATACTTGATCTGAGAACGATTTTAAAAGGTACCGTTGTGTTTCAGACATGCCACTCTATCTACGGAGGTTCAGTTAAAATAACCTTAACAGTCTCTTTAAATTTCCGATTCTGAATAAGTTTTACCTGGGTTTGATTCACTATCTGTATTTCTTTACTAATTAGATGAAGAGTCATATGAACTATATTACAGTCTCCTCGGTATCTTCTCTGCAGCGTTGAAATTACTCTCCACTGCGCTTCGGCAGACATCTTGGAACTGTTGAGAAGTTTGAATACTAGAATATGATCTGTATATTCCAACCCAGCCGTCAACAAATCTTTAAGTCTAAATAAGACAAAATGTTATTTTTAAATTAGATTCCTTAGAGAGCAAAATAGCACTAAACTGCGCGAGTGTTTCATCTTTTATCTATTTGTGTCTCCAGTAGTGCTTCAAAAAATGGATCTAGATCTAGAGATAAGGAAATTTTGAATAATCTCTCAAATTTCCACAGTTTAGAATTTAGTTTGAGAGGAAAATCTTTTTTTTAGTATTTGGTACATGTTTGGCCCGGATTCGGATCCAGGAAGCCAAAATGTATCCGGATCCTTAGCACTGCTTTAGAGTATTTTACAAATACGGCGTAACAATAATTGACCGGGGAGGGGAGTTGAAGTATAGAAAACGATTAGTAAATAAGTGGCAAGTGCAGATTTCAGTCGAAAATGATCAGGATATGATTGTTTAACATAATTACTATCAAAATTTTAACCTACTGTTCCATGAATCAATGAACTGGTTAAAATCCTCTATTTCAGGATTAAACTCGTACTTTTCAAAATTATTAAAAGCCCGCCAACTTTTACCCAAGTTCAACATTTTTCTGAAATAATATAAACTATAGATGTAGTACGCCTCGTACTTTTCTAAGAAACTGGGCTTTCCGCGCCCCTTTTCTAGCAACAATTTTTGCAATCCATTGTGGATGGGTTGGGTACAAACACACGGACAGACAATTAAAGTATGTATATAGATATAGTTGATAGGCCGCTTCCATACTTTAGATTTAGAACTAGATGTACAGCAGGTACTGTACCCCTCACACATACTCTAGATATCCTAACCCTAAATAACAAAAAAATAAATAATAAATTTGCTGAAAAATAAATGGTCATGTACAAAATTGATAGGAGGGGGGGGGCGGGGGGGGGGGGCCAAAAATCGTTCACTAGGACAGACCCGATAAGCCAAATCATCATTAATTTAGCAAAAAAAAACATCACATACATATGAGTTTGTTGTTTTCTTACGAAAATTTCAAAACAACTTCAAACTATCAAACAGCTGATCTTGATGCTTTATCATCCGGACGAAAAAGCAGTCAGAACTACGTTAGCTCGAACTTTTGTTTTAAAACACCAGAGTACTAAAAAAAGCTTATTAAAAATTTAAAAAGATCTAACTTCTGAATGATGTATAGCTACTAATTTTAATTTCACTACAATCCGATTTGTGCACAAATGACTTTAATGCAAGTGAATGGCAGTTCACTCGACCATTAGTTCTAATGTGTTGCATTATGTGGGAGGACGTCATAGATATATAAACCCGGCATTTTTAGATAAACGCGCATTTACTTGTTGATAAATAGAAACTTTTCCTAATTTTTTTAGGTAGTTTTCTTGAGGACGATTTGTTATCAGAAGTCGTATATTATAATACTTGACCCAACTAAGAAACATTAATCGCGGAAATTGTGAGATTTACCTATTTTCTGATATTTCTAATATCTGAAGATTAATCTATTTCAGAATAATGGCGACTACTTCTGATAAAGGAGTTTTGACCCGGAAACTGGGTGCTTCCGATTATAATCCAACTAGATATGTGGCAGAAATATCTCAGAGATGCGTTGGTTAGTTTAGAGTTTAAACTTACAAATTTATAGACTATTGTTTAATTCTGTATGCAAGTATATAAATCTATAATTTTTTCAGACATGCCACTCTATCTACGGAGGTTCAGTTTCCTCTAAAAATTCCCACTCCCTCTTTTAGGAATGTTTGTGCGTATTATGGGCTTTTCAACACTGAGTGGGGGTAAATAAATGACTTATAGTGGAATGGGGTGTTATGAAATGTTATACCCATTCTGAATATTATTGCCCAGGTGGTGAGGAGATCCTAGCGCAGCGGAAGATGATACAAGATCTATCTGATGATACAAATACTCTTCTCAAACATAATGTTTATAAAAACTATTCTCAGTTTATCGAGACAGCAAAAGAGATTTCTCATCTTGAGAGTGATATGTACAGGTAGTTTGCCATTAAAAGGATTGTTCATTATATTTCATGCAACCCTCCGTCCATTTTGATATTGCTAATTATTTCCACTGATCTCATTTAAATTCAATGACTTTTTATCAAAGTCTGAGATGTTGTTTCAATCTTTGAATTACCAAGGTTATTTTTTGGTCATATAATCATTTTTTCTTTACTCCCCACCTCCTAAAACAAAGTATACAAGTGTCTAAAAAACTTTACTTCCGATGTTTAATTTTACATTTTTTCTTTAATTTTATCCCCATAGTCAACACTAGCTGACCCTACTATCATCTTGTGTACTTGTCTAAATGTCCTATTGTTCATAATTGTCTTATTAGCTCTAGTTTTGGTCTTACTGTCTCATTATTTCCTAGGCTATCCTCAATGATAACTGAACAAAGAAGATTTTTGACGGGACTGCTCGAAACAAGTATACTTGGAGATACTGTACCCCTCACACATACTCTAGATATAGAACTAGATGTACAGCAGGTACTGTACCCCTCACACATACTCTAGATATAGAACTAGATGTACAGAAGGTACTGTACCCCTCATCCATTCGTTAGATTTAGAACTAGATGTACAGCAGGTACTGCACCCCTCATCCATACTTTAGATTTAGAACTAGATGTACAGCAAGTACTGTACTCCTCAGCCTCACATACTCTAGATATATAACTACATGTACAGCAGGTACTGTACCCCTCATACGTACTCTAGATATAGACATAGATGTACAGCAGATACCGTACCCCTCACACATATTCTAGATATATAACTAAGATGTACAGCAGGTACTGTACCCCTAACACATACTCCAGATATAGTACATAGAAGGTATTATACCCCTCACTTATAGTTTATGTATATAACTAGAAGTACAGCAGCAGGTATTTGAAGAAATTAATGGGTTTAGGTCAGAAATTAAAATAAACGAGATGTTGCAAGATATTTAATATTTTTTATGGTAATACACTCGTACAGATAGTAACTCTTAAAAATGACAAACGCTGGAATGTTTTTTCCTTCACGAGCCCGGCCCTCTAGCATATTTTTTATCCCCTTCCACCTGTGAGCTAGGCATAACCTGACGTAAAGTTATTGAATAAATGTGAATACTTTCATTTAACATTGATATTAAATTGTAGGAAGAAGAAATGAAGCCAAACAACAGGCAGGAGTTGGGTCGCAGGAATCTAATAGATCTGATGGAGAAGGTGGAGGGAGGCAGGGATATTATTGATGTACCCTCCAGGTATATAATTGATAATTATATGATAAAGCTCTTTGCTCATATATGTATATATAGATTTACATATTTGTATACATGTTAGCTATAGCTGGCCAAACGGCTAGACCGAATTGGCTGATTTTTTTGAGGGAATCCTTAAGTACACTTAGGGGTAACAAAGGCTAAAAATTATCGTCAAACATCTAATTATATAATTTAGTTTTTCTTCAAAATTTTAAGTTTTTTTCTTAATTGTTTTTTTAAATTCCATGGGCAACTCCGGACACCTTCCATGGGGCGAAATGAGTCTTTCTAAAATGTATAGCAGGCTGTTATGTTTAATAACTGTTCGATGGGATGATAATAAAGTGAACAATAGTGTCAGCCTCCGCGAACTAAAAACATTTCTTTGAAATAAATTCAAATGGCATCAATATTGTATTAAACTACTTTTCGAGCAAAATGTTGAAATTTTTTTTTGAGAAATTAGAAAGTTACCTCTTTTCTCACTCGGTTTACAACATTTTTTTTTTACTATTGTCACAACAATTAAATAATGCATTAATCAAAACTTTTGTTTACCATAATAAACCTTTGTAGTTGTGTAACTCAAAATTTTGCAGTTTTCTGTAAACCTTGATATTTTTTTATCTAAAGTTTTCACTTTTAATAGACAAGCCAATTTTGCATACATAGATGAGTACATTTTTTTTAGATCTATTTTTGCTTAGGTTTCTTCTGTACGACGGTGACTTAATAGAGATGGATACAGGAAAACAGAATTTTAAAAAATCTAAATTTAAAAACTTCATTCTTTTTATTAGAATTGTTAAAAAATATCTCTTTTTTTTCCAATACATGATTTTGTCGGTCCAATTGAAGAATTGGGTAAAAATAATGATATTACAGAAGAAAGATACGAGAGTAAAATTTACTGCTGTTGGTATCTAAGACATTTCCGATTTTTCCTGAAACTCACCTCAACTTTTTCCTGAACCTTTCACTTGTTATATTATGCGAAATTTATCTTTAAAATATAAGTTATTTATAATTATGAAGTGCAGACATCTTAGACATTTTAAAATGATTTTCTGTTTACAGGAGAGCACTCCGCTATACACAGAGTACATATTTACCTAACTAATGATAGTATCATCATTGCAACTTGGCTTAGGGAAAAACGTGGACCCGTCAGGTATTATAATTCATGTTTTTGTAGGAAAAATAGATGCATTAATATTTCAGTTTTGTTCGCCCTTTCTAATCTTTTGTTTTGATTGGTTGATTAAATAGTTAACTGATTGGTTTCTTGATTGGTTTGTTGGTTTTTTGATTGATTGATTGATTTATCGGTTGACTAACTGGTTGATCATTTAGTTGATTAATTTGTAGATTGGTTGGTTCATTGATTGATTGGTTCATTGATTGATTGGATCATTGATTGATTGGTTCAATGATTGATGGGTTTATGAAGGCAAAATTCCCCAAGGTTTATTTTTTTCTGATTAATTGATGCAAAGCTAAAAAACTCTTTGTTCATTTGGCTTTTAGTGAATTAGTTTGTTGATTTATTGATTGATCGATCACATTTATATATTGATAAAATTCATACAGTTAAATTAATTGATTAATTGATTAAAATAGTCAAATTAAAATTGTTTTAACCATAGTTGCCCCCTGTTCTTAAATTTAAGATTTGGCTTTAAAACAGCAATTTGTTCTTAATGTTCTCAATTTTCGGGGGGGGGGGGAAGGAGGGGGGGAAGTTCTTAAGCTTCTCCAACGTTCTTAAATTTGTTTTCTCACTTTTTCACTCTCCACCAAAGGCCAAAAAAAGAGAGAAGCTAGATATCCAGAAATCTCAAACTATTTGACTAGCAGGAATCTACATCAAACCATAATACTTGGACCTTAAAAAATGTTTTAAAAATCTAAAATTTTTCACGATATCAAAAACATGTTCTTAAAAATCTTAATTTTGGTAAATGTTCTTAATTTTGTTCTTAGTTTTTGGCAATATTTGTTAGAAAAATCTTAAATTTAAGAACAGCGTTCTTAATTTTTTGTCTTTGATTGATTGGTCAAATGGATGACTGATTGATTAATAATGATTATATTTGTTAAATTATAATCCGATTAATTGATAAGATTCAAGCTCTCAAGCCAGTACTCCTTAAACTCCTTTGCAATGGTGAATGTGCGTGACCTAGCTGGAGTTACAAATGCCTGGAAGCTGTTGGTCAGCCCAGAACCTAGGCTCTTCCAGTGCAAAGACGCATTATCGAAAAAGGTAGCAGTTTAAACAATGTATGCAGGCTGTATGCTGCATGTAGATGTGCTTCGCCCTGAAGACCGCTTCGGGTTCCATTCTGGTTTCCTTTCAGATCTTTCTATTGTTATAATTATTATTAAACCAGTTGGAGCCCGTAACTTATGATTAAGATAAAATTTATTTTAAAGCTTTATGTCTATCTAAAATTTATATTGTTATTGTTATGCATTCTTACTTTTAAAAAAAGCAGAAAAATAGAAAGCTCAAGTGATCTTTCCCCAAAAGCGGTGGGGAGTAAACAAAAATCAAAACGAAATTTTGTTTAAATGTTGCAAAGAAAGAGTAATAGGTCCTTTTTAGGTTTTACAATCATCAAGCTTCGAGAGTGACATATCATATTTAGGAAGAAATTGGATATTGGGGGAAAATATGACTATTGCTTAAAAATAATTTTTGAAAATATAGATGCCATGGGGTATATATGAAACTCTCTGTAGAGAAAACAATAATACTCTCGTGTGGTACACAGGGGCATACTTGGAAGATAGAACCAGGTACGCCAGACCTAGAATCGAACCTGGTTGGTAAATATCTAGGAGTGGAATTACAGGTCAAAGGCAGGAACTTGGTTAAGCCAAGAGAGGATCGTATGGTATGTGTCGCGCAAAACTACGCTAATACTATCATGGGTGTCACAAGATCCGGACTAGATCGATCTCTTGTGGCCCATACCCTATGGGAGAGATGTGCTATTTAGGGGGAGACAATGTCTCAAAAGAAGTGCTGCTGAAAAGGACCGTAAAGATAAACTCACTGCTGGAGCGGTGGATGGACTTGTCAGGAACAGTCTAAATGCGGGTAACCTCTTTTCTTCGCCTAAAGGGTTGTTTGATACCAATCATCCAATGGAGTTAATTGATGAGCCACTGGCTGGAATGTATCACCTTTTTATTAACGGACAATGGGCTAATTGTTGTGAGTATAAAGGTCCAGCTAGAGTAGGTGTGGGACGGTGCTTCCCATGCCTGCCGGCGGTCTGGGGGGTTCATAACGGGACCTCTTTTTCAGATTCCTTTTCTAATATTCTAATATTAATATATATCTTGCGTTCCCAGGAATGGTTGGCTGCATATGAAGAAGCAAAGGAGTGGCAGAGAACTGGGGGTTTAGAGCCAGCGACTAGGAAACCAGTAAAACAAAACAAAAAACCAGAAAAACAAGCTGATAACCCTTTCAGGTAAAATGCTGTTTAGAAAAATGGCTGAATCTGTCATCCCCATGAGCTCTTGGCACATTTATGGACTGTTGAACCAGAAAAACCAGAAAAATCTACGAAATCTTAAATTGTTTTTGTTTTCATAATGTAAAAAAATGCTAATATGTAAAGTAACATTTGAAGATGGACTCATTACAAAGAAAAAAGGGGTCCTAGAAGGTTATTCTCATTATAGACTGAATATGCTTTACTTTAATAAGTATTTTTATTGAACTCCCTGAATAATTAATATTTAGTGAACCTGAGGTTGAGATAGAGGTTGATGTAAAGGAAGAAGACCCCCCTGAGCTCCCTGAATGGCTGATAGAACTGCCAGATACTCTAGATGTTCACATTGCACAGCGCGAGTTTGAGTCAGCTGTAGAAATTATCCAGGTACTGTGTTTCTTTAACAAAAGATGGTAATAAAGGGACTTTAAGCTATTAATCCAAAGTTTTACTCTACAGACATAGTTTAAAAAAATAAATACGATATTTTTTACTTTTTAAGAAATTTTTTTCCTCGCTTGGACACAAACAATAGAAAGGTCTGCTCCAATCAGAAATCACAAGCTTTAATTACTTCGCCAACCACAGTTAATTCAAAAGACGTGCATTGCACCCATTACATGATTTTAGCCAAAACAAGAGTATATGAGGCTATGATTTAGAGGTTAGATCCTTCAATTGTACTGATTTAAGGAGGCTGAAGAGGATCTAGAGAGGAGGGAGGAGTGCCAGCTGATCAAGGAGCTCAAGGAGATCAACCAGGCGAGGAAGGATACTCTCATACAGGTCTTTGATATTTTGCCAGGGGCATATTTAAGTCATTTTTTACCTCTAAGCATAAAATAAACATATGAAAATTGTTAAATTTAGGTTTTGCGAGGAGAACTGAATTTGACTCCAGACAAATCCATGCAGGGAGGACCTAGGACTGCTAGGAGAGCAGTCAATCTTTTATCAGGTATATAGGACCTAGAACAGCTAGGAGAGCAGTCAATCTGTTATCAGGTATATAGGACCTAGAACAGCTAGGAGAGCAGTCAATCTGTTATCAGGTATATAGGACCTAGAACAGCTAGGAGAGCAGTCAATATGTTATCAGGTATATAGGACCTAGAACAGCTAGGAGAGCAGTCAATATGTTATCAGGTATATAGGACCTAGAACAGCTAGGAGAGCAGTCAATCTTTAATGAGGCATACAGGAAATAGGACAGCTAGGAGAGCGGTAAATCGTTTATCAGGTATATAGGACCTTGGATAGCTAGGAGGGCGGTCAATCTGTTATCAGGTATATAGGACTTCACCCCGCACACTGCTGTAAATGAACCATTAGGTTTCAAGTCTAAACACCTAATTTTTTTCTTCGGAATATATTGATATGCAGGTTTCTGAGTTATAATCTAAATTTTCAGAAAATGCCACTAGGGGAATAATTGTAGAAATCAAGTTGTAACTGTAGGTTCAAAAATTAATCAAGATTATTTTGTGTTTTTTTGCGATATTTTTGGAACCGTTGATGGCAGGGTCCCCAAATTTTGTGAATTTTCCTTAACAGTCATAAGAGATGTTTTAGCAAAAAAAAATCAAAGCCTTAAGTGAATTGTAGAATTGCCTAAATACTGCCTAAAAAGACTTTTTGAAGTAAAATCAGTAAAAGTTACATCAAACAAATTTTTCGGGTCGCATTTTGACTGTTAAATAAAAATAAAAAGACCATGACAAAAACTGTTAAAAAAATATCGTCAAAAACCCAGAAGAAGCAGATTAAAGTCTTGAAACAAAATTTTTGTTTAATTTAAGACCTGGGAATGCACTTGATTTATACAATTTCTTAAAAATTGATTTGCTCAAATTTCAAATTTTCTGAAAATTGAGAATATAACTCAGTTGCCTGCATATAAACAAAATCCAAAGAAAAAGTTTAGGTGTTTTGACTTGAAACCTGATGGTACATTTTCAGTAGTGTGTCCGCAATAGCAGTGCAAACCCCAGAAATTGGAAATAGTTTAAGAAAAACGACATTCATATTATTACTTAATCTTTTAAATTGTAGTATACATTCATTCAAATTAAAAATTGTTAAGTAAAATTCAGATGAAGTACTTCTGTACACAATGTGCAAGTAAACTCTTATGTTATATCTTATCATCGTTCTTTGTTTAAAATCTTCACTTTAGACATATCTACCAGTTATTTAATATGGTGGTTAGTCACTTGAACTAACGTCATAGGAACTATTGATATTTTCACTTTTGTTCATATTTTTTTTTTCTTAACTTTTGCTTTCTTGTTTTTTGTTTTTATTTAGCATATTTTGTTTTTCTATTTGCATTTGAGTTTTATGTCATAATTTTTTACAAAAAAAGTTGTCCAAATGAATTTCTCTTTACTTTCAGTGGCCCTTGTAATTTAATCTTTATTCAAACTGATACGATTGGAAGCTTATATGTTGGTAACATAATCAATGGTCGAAATATTCAACAGTTCAAACGACAGTAGGTCGGACTTTATAGCATCTCAATATACACGTTCTAGCAGCATATATTAAATGTCGTCTTGCATAAAACAGTGCCGATTAGGGTTTGCAAAACTCTTGCATGGTGACCCAGAATAGTTATAAGAGCAGTCTAAACCTTTCCACATGAACTCCTTAGAACTGTAGAAATGTCAATAGTGGGGGGGGGGGGGGGGGGGTAAATTATTTCTAGAGGGAAAGACCAATAATTTTCTATTCTGAAGATAAATAAGTTTTTTCTTAAGGTTTACATAGACAAGCTGAGGCAAGAGATTTATTTCTAACACATAGGACTACTCTCCTCAGGTTATAAGTTACTTCTTAGTTAACAACATGTTTTTACATCCTGCATAATTTGTCAAAGATGGTTACCAAACCTCTCTCTTAAATCTATTGGTTTAGGTGCTGCTATAAATAGGTCAAGGTTGTGCAGATCAAGCTGTTTGTGTCCAGGCGAATTTAGACTATGTGTATTTAAATGTAGAGATTTATGTCAGAGGCTGGAACATGATTGAACGGATTAGTTCTTATGCCTCGTCGATCATAACAAGAGGGATTGAGCGTTGATACTGATAAAGTCTTGTCCGGATTGACATTGATACTAAAAAGGAACCCATCCCAAGCAATTCTCTACTGGTCATAAGGAATGTTTATTTGTAAGAGGACAGTTGAAAGATTGATAGTGGTACTCTAATCCGAAGGCAATCTCATTTCGGGGGTCTTTTCAGATTTCACTTCTTGTTTAACTTGTAACAACTGAGGTTTTTAGAAACAGAAGAAAACTAGAGCGAGTCAAAAATATCTAAGTATGCAGGATTATTACTAATAATAAAATCAAACAATAAATTAAAATTTTAATATTTTTATGTTTATTATTATTTAATAAAACACTGTACAGGCATAATGTGAAGAGTTGCAGGGGAGAAGGAAATACGCATCAATATCTAACAAGGATAGGAAATACATTCTTCCAACAGATAGCTGAGACATGCAGGTATATATAAACAGATTTGATAGGCCGGTCTATCCACATTCATTAATTGATGGCCCATCTAAATATATAAAGAAGTAATCCATTTTTTTCTTTCAATCTGTCTGTTTTTTTAATGTTCAATTATAACTCATGAACTTCTGGACTGATTTGTCTCAAATTTTGAATGGGAAACTCGGTTAAATAGTTTATTCAAATACTTGGACAGGGTGTCCCTGTATGCTGACCAGTTTATTCAAATACTTGGACAGGGTGTCCCTGTATACTGACCAGTTTATTCAAATACTTGGACAGGGTGTCCCTATATACTGACCAGTTTATTCAAATACTTGGACAGGGTGTCCCTATATACTGACTAGTTTATTCAAATACTTGGACAGGGTGTCCCTGTATACTGACCAGTTTATTCAAATACTTGGACAGGGTGTCCCTGTATACTGACCAGTTTATTTAAATACTTGGACAGGGTGTCCCTGTATGCTGACTAGTTTATTTATATACTTGGACAGGGTGTCCCTATATACTGACCAGTTTATTCAAATACGTGGACAGGGTGTCCCTGTATACTGACCAGTTTATTTAAATACTTGGACAGGGTGTCCCTGTATGCTGACCAGTTTATTCAAATACTTGGACAGGGTGTCCCTATATACTGACCAGTTTATTCAAATACTTGGACAGGGTGTCCCTATATACTGACTAGTTTATTTAAATACTTGGACAGGGTGTCCCTATATACTGACCAGTTTATTCAAATACTTAGACAGGGTGTCCCTGTATACTGACCAGTTTATTCAAGCTTTAAAAAATTTCAAGTGGAGTGGGTTGACTTTTATAGGGAAGCCTACAGCAAAGCTGGGTTCCCAATGCCAGTAATACATTAAAGGTTGCTGTTGGGGAAATTAGTGATTGGGTAAATTGCTGTTGGTGAAGTTCTCTTTGTGAAGTAGTGACTGGGAAGTTGCGTTGGGAAATAAGCTAATACCACATAAAAAAAAAAACATAAAAAGTCGATTAAATGACAAATTAACATAAAATCGGAACTAAAATTAAAAGCTCAACCCTGATATCTTATTATTGTCTGATCCCAGGGAATTCGATAAATGTTTCCTGAGCCCGGATTCAGGTCCTAGTTCTAGCTCCAACTCCAGATCTAGCTCCAGCTCCCTACTCATGTGGTTGGAGGAGGAGTTGGAGTGGTTTGTTGAGAAGATTGATAAACAGCTGTTCAGCAATCATGCTCCACTCCCAGGCATAGCAGAGTCAGTTAATAGGTAGTTTATTCATTTATTCATTTATTCATTTATTCATTTATTCATTTATTCATTTATTCATTTATTCATTTATTCATTTATTCATTTATTCATTTATTCATTTATTCATCCTTTCATCCTTTCATCCTTTCATCCTTTCATCCTTTCATTCATTTATTCATTTATTCATTTATTCATTTATTCATTTATTCATTTATTCATTTATTCATTTATTCATTTATTCATTTATTCATTTATTCATTTAGTCATTTAGTCATTTAGTCATTTATTCATCCTTTCATCCTTTCATCCTTTCATCCTTTCATCCTTTCATTCATCCTTTCATTCATCCTTTCATTCATTTGTTTATTCTTTTATTTGTTTATTTGTTTATTCGTTTATTCGTTTATTCGTTTGTTCGTTTATTCATTTATTCGTTTATTCGTTTGTTCGTTTATTCGTGTATTCGTGTATTCGTTTATTCGTTTGTTCGTTTATTCATTTATTCGTTTATTCGTTTGTTCGTTTGTTCGTTTATTCGTTTATTCACTTATTCGTTTATTCGTAAGCATTTATGCATTTTTTCATTTATTTATTTTATCCATGCAAAGATATTAATGTTTACAATTTGAAAACGGATTATTTTTCAACTTGAGGACATCATATAGGAATTATCATAATTAAACACTTTTTATGCTAAAAACTTAACGATGTCTTCCACATTATTGACATATAAAAGTTCAAGGATTACGAGTACCATTTTGAATCAGGTATTGTCATCATCTGTGTATGTAGGGTTACTTGAAATTAAGCTTACAGTCCCTATGATTTGAAGGTTACGTGAGCAGGCTGGGAAACTTCTAGGATTTGGTTTGGATGTCGTCTTCCTGCTGGATAATCGTCTTCAAGGTGGGATAGAGAGGGTTATATGTGAGGCTCGGGACAAGGCGATAGAAGCTGTTAAACTAAGATGGGGAGAAGAGAACTGGAGACCTCATCATGCTGGGTCAAGGTTAGACAAATGTAAAAAGATTAGACACAAAAATAAAGGAATACCATTCAAATTAAACTAGTTTTGAATTACATTATCTGGTGATGAGAAAGTGTCTGGTGTACTCCCAGTTAAATCCCTAGATGTGGTCTGGATTAGTGTCTAGTATCAAAATATCTAGGTCTGGTCTAGATAAAACTTATTCCTATATATGTGTTGGATAAGTGACTTCCATGGGGTGGCTGACTGAATGACCCATAAATCTTATCTCTAGATCTGTTATGGATAAGTGTCTAGTATACTTTCCAACTAAATCTTATCCCTAGATCTGGTTTGGATAAGTATCTGGTATACTACTAAATCTTATCCGGCCCTAGATCTGGTCTGGTTTAAGTGTCTGGTATACTACTAAATCTTATCCCTAGATCTGGTTTGCATAAGTGTTTAGTATACTCCCAACGAAACCTTATCCATAGATCAGTTCTGGATAAGTGTCTACTATACTTCCAACTAAATCTTATCCCTATATCTGGTTTGGAAAAAAGTCTAGTATACGAAACCTTATTCATATGTCTGGTATAGATAAGTGTTCTAATATATTCCCAACTAAATCTAATCCATAGATCTGGTTTGGATAAGTGTTCTAATAAACTCCCAGCTAAATCTTATCCATAGATTTGGTTTGGATAAGTGTTTGGTAGAAAACTGATTCCTAGGTCTGGTCTGGAGAAGTGTCTGGTAGAGATGAATCAAGCTGGAATAGCGTCAGCTAAAACTTATCTTAATGCAGATGGAGAATTAGATCTTACCTTAAACTCAGGTTAGTCAAATATTCACAAGCTTTATTATATTATACTAGCTTGGGAACCCAGCTTTGCCTGAGAACTAAATTTTCACTCAGAAGTCGACCCACTCAATTTCGAATTATGGACAATGGACATCTTTTTAAATACTTTTAACCCAACTTTTTTTGATTTTCTCCAGTTGCTTATAAGTTTTCTGCGGATTTTTCTGTGATTTTCAAAAAAGGGGAGGAAGGTGAGAAAAATGAATTTTTGAGAAAATATACAGCATACACATCTGTTCATCTTATTCAACCCTGTCTGGTATAAAAGGAAAGCATACAATTGCCATTTTTACATACTTTGGTTTATCTTTTTTCCTTCATTGTTTGAAAAAATATATTATAATTTTGCAAATTTAATTGATTTTATTGGAAATTAAAAAAGGGCGATTGAAAAAAAATATATTTTTGGTTTTTTTTTCATTTTCTTTTCTTTTTCCTTTTTCATTTTAACTCCTTCTGCGCCCAACAAATTTTAAAGAAATAAATAAATCTTACAATTAATTAAGAAATTTGTTATTTTTAGTTAGTTTTGGATTATCATATTTAACCCTGACTGATCATCTTCTGCTGCTGTTCACCCCTGGAACCAGGTAATCATTTTCAAAGATGCGGGGGGGGGGGTATTTTGATTAAATCTTCAAATCTTCATGACTTATGTAAGACATTTAAAACATCTTTCTCTGATTCTTTATTTGATGGTAATAATATAGAACAGATGATAGGGGGGAGAGTTTTACTGGAAAAAAAATAAGATAGTATAAGCAACAAAAGTACAATTTTTATACTGATTTCCTATCAATACTTACATGAGTGTCATCTATTAAGAGAAGAAATCAAAGTATGTTTACATCAGCGTCCATAGTTGGTTTAACCTTACTGAAGCTATACACAGGTTTGACAGGCATATAAACTCTAATACGAGTAAAGGCGTGCACGTAACAATTGGAAAACAATTGGAAATGTAAATAGTAAAAAATGGGAATAGATCAACGAGGTTATAGTGTATAGATTGATGATGTACGCTAATCCTTAACTAATTTTAAAGGTCATAAACTATAACGAAAGCGTACTGCATATTTGTATTTTAAGTTGATTCTGGCCTAACCTATAGTATATCAATATTAGTAAACAGTTGTAAGTGTACAGTACAGCTAACTGAGCACACAGGTAGAGAACTATCATCCCCCCTGGAATAGATCAAATGCCTAATTTAAAAACAGGGGGGGGGGGGGGTACCGAAAGTTTGGACTACTGAATTCGGAACTTGTGTGTTGTAAATCTTAGGATTAATCTCCGGCTTATGCAGACCTACGGATCAATATAATTCCTATTTGATATCCTGTGGTGATCATGCCCCGCAGAGATAACTTTAATTAAGAAATCAAGCATTTATCCTTTGATTTAAATCCGCAATTTCCATGGAAGAAAATAAGCGCTTTACAAGGTTTATCACTAATCAGGGTATCTGGATAATAAAGAATTCCCCCTGGAGCGGAGGAGAAACAATTTTTGAAGACTTGGAGAATGCAAAATTATACACCAACTGGCAACGTTCCTCCTTTATGATACATTTACGTTACCCCTCAAAAAATGAATGTATATATATTAGAAAATAAGATTTCTGTAAGGATGAGTGGGTGTTTTTCAAGAATATATTATATACTCTTAGTGGATGAAGATATTTATCCGGTAGAAACCAAGTTGATTTATTATTTATTCTAAACTTTAAAAAATGATTTTATTCTTAATTTGGTAAAGGTCATTCCAAAACAAGGGGGACAGTCTCCAGAAATGACCATCTCCGATATGGTTGACATTTTATACACAACTTACTATTTGAAAGAAACTTATTTCCTAAAAAAAACTTGGAAGCTCTGGCGCCAGAGTTAGGGGGCAGCTAAAATTAGAGAAAAACAGCTTTTTCTTCAGGCACTTGGTGAATGAGAGCTTAATAAGTGTTCTACATGCTCAGCTCAGGCATTTAGATCAGGCAGTGAGGGCAGATAAGGTAACTTAAGTACAGGTTAACCCACGAAACATGACAGTAAAAAAGACGACCTAGAGGACGTCTTTGACATTTTCCATAGTTTGCAGCATTCATTCGTCAATCAAATTTTACATGTCTCTTGAAATTTCTAAAATTATGATTTCGAATGAATGCCGCAAATTGTTTCAAAGATCAAAGACGACCTTCAACTTCAAGTTGTCTCTCACCTGTCATGTTTCTATGTTTATCTATGCATATTGCACAACAACGGAGGGAGGTATTGTTACTATGTGTAATATAATTTCGAATGGGTCATTTAGATTTGTTGAGAAAAAAATTAGGATTTTAAGAATCTGAGAACAGTGGGGTTGTTCAAAAGTAAAGGACATTTAGTCATTCTTTCGTGTAGAAAGCAACAAGTTTTTGCGATGCTTTACAATAAACTAAGTACAATTGGTCTGTGAACATTGTACACTTCATGTTTATTGTTTAATTCAAATCTTAACTTGAGTCCTCCCATCGTCTAACAGTTCTCTCCCTATTCTATATTTTGTAGGGTTCAACTGCACAAAAGAGAAAAGTATAATTTCATTTTGTAGTTCCAAAGTTAAAATAGTATTAAAAAATCTGTTGAAACAATATTTTTGTAATTTTTGTTTAGGTTGAGGGAGCTTCTAAAAGTTTTATCATGAAGGAAAGTTTATTCTCTAAATAATTAAGTTTCGAAATATTTAAAAAGATGAGATCTTTTTTTTCAAAATGAAAAATTTATCCTAAATCAAAAATCTTTTTTTAAAGTAAGTATGTCATTTGTTTACAAAATACAACAAAAATACAAAATAAAGTGTTAAAGAACGAAATATTTCCCCCAAATTCTAAAAACAAGACAGACATATATTTATTTTGAAAGAATATGATTTGTTAGAACGCGGGATTTCTGCTGGATACTGTACTTACATTAGTAGAACATAAATATCAGGTAATTAATGTCGTCTTTATTAATATCTAGCTAGGGAACTCAACTTTCTCTTATAAAGTCATTCCACTCAACTTAAATCAAGTTATAAACATTCCCGTGGTTCTTCTTAATTCTGTAATCAAAATTTAAGGCAATTAAGTAAGGGGTTACTGAGTTATGATCGGAAAAACAAAACAGCAAACAGAAATTACTACTCTAAATATATTATTCTAGCTTGGATACCCAGCGTTGCCCAGGTTTCTAAAAGTTACTCCCACCGTTTACCCGCACTTGAATGATTTTACCGGGAAAGTAAATTTTCGCCATTAAAGTCGACCCACTCAACTTAGAATCCCAAAACCAAGCCAAACACATTCCCGTGGGTCTTCCGAGTTCCTCAATCAAAATTTGAGGCAAATCGGTCCAGAGGTTCCTGAATTATGGTCGGACAAACAAACAAACATGCAGATAGAGAGACAAACAGATTTCAACTTTATATATATTTAGATAATAGCCTGGGAACTCCCGCCGTTTACCCGCACATGAACGAATTTACTGGGAAACTAAATTTTCGCTATTTTAATCGGCCCACTCAACCTAGAATCTCGAAACAAGGCTAAGAACATTTCCGTGGGTCTCCCGAGTTCCCCAATCAAAATCTTAGGGAAATCGGTCTAGGGGTTCCTGAGTTATGATCGGAAAAAAAAAAACAGACGACAGACAAACAGAGATTACTACTTGTTGCACGTGTTTAAATAAATATAGTCTAGAACAATCAAAAGTACATTTTAATATATATATTCCTCTAAAAAGGTGTCCCCGATGGTTTTTTTTGGTTTATCAGTTAAAAATTGCTAAATAACACTACTATTTCTAACTAAAATAAACAAAGAAGACGACAACAATTCTACATTTTTTTTGGTTATTACGCTAATATTAAGGACATGATAGCCTACTTTAATTTGTTTGTATATTTGTAGAGTAAAACTGGTTCTGAGTGTCCTAAACTATCTAAACTACACTCTAACTATGCCTGGTTGAAAGAAGGAAAAGGTCCTGTAACAAAGTATCAAGACAACAATTTTGTTTAGAAAGTAAATTTTTCATTTTTCCAACATCATTCCGATAGCTAAGCTACAGGGCTATCCACAAAGGATGAGACGTTAATAACGACATATAACTCTTTAATTCTAGACTTCTGAGGTTTTAAGATCATCTTCGGTCTAAGGTATCAATGTAAGAAAAAGGACACGTTTCTGAAGTGTCATTCTTTTCTGGGTTACCTGTATATTATTGGGGATATCACTTTCCCCTGCAAATAGTCTACTTTAAATCTTTTTATCGTTTTTAAGGGTGTCGACTATAAAACATGAAAGTTAAGAGACGGCTTGAGGATCGTCTTTAATATTCAAAATAGTTTGCGGCATTGAATCCTCAACCGAATTTGACTTATATTATTCTTAAATCAAGAATCACAAAATATTCCTAGCCCTGGCATTTCTAATTTTTTGTGCGTTCAAAATTACCAAAATTGTCCAAGTCTAAACGAAATTATTCATATCTCCGATAATTTTAAAAGATCTAAAAAGGCAGACCAAATTTAGAAAATGAATAGACTTGGGATATTTTATTAAATTCATGAATTATATTTTTCATATTTGGTTGACGAATGAATGCTGCAAATTATTTTTAAGATAAAAGACGACCATCAAATTGTCTCTCCACTGTCATGTTTCGTGGAACACCTTGTGTCATCCAAAATGATTAAATTCTCAAAACTTCCGAGAAAATATAAACAAAGGTTTATCTTTGTAATTTTAGGTCTCATTTAGAATCTGTAACCTAGATTTAAAAATTTGAATTTTTTAATTTTTTGTAGAAATTTTGAACATTATTTGAAAGTGATATTGAATATTTAATTTATAAATTGTTATTTCATTATTAAATATAACTATGATAAGAAATAAAATCTATTTTAAGAAAGATGTCATCTTCTGTTCGAGTTGTTACAAAATTAATTTAAAATTAAAAATTAATTTTGGAAAACAAAATTTGTCCCAACATTTTCCTTTTTTTAATTTTGTTAAAACTCATTTTATTTCTAATCCTTTGAAGTTCTCTGAAATGTCTCCAATTTGGTGCATGGTGATGATGATGAATTAACCCTATCCCTGCTGTGGTACTTGAAAACCAGGATACGCTGGGGGGGGGGTCAATTTGACCCCCCCCCTCTAAATCCCATGTTTTATGTCCAAATATGACAAATGATACATCATTAGAAAGCTCTTGTGCTCTACTTTTAGAATCTGCAAAAAAAATTGCAAATTTGCGAAAATTGATTTTTTTATCGCAAAATCCAGTTTTATAGTCAAAATGTTTGCAAAAAAAAATTTGTCCAAAAAATGACAAATTATACATTTTTGAAAAGCCCTTGACCATGCCATTTCAAATATGCAAAAATTTTTGCAAAATTTTAAATAACCTGATTTTTAATCAAGAAAAACTAAAAATGTGCAAATTTCCTTTGACAGGTTGTTTGCAAAAAATTTGCAATTTTTTTCTCGCAAAACTTGTGCAATCCGTTTCCTTATGTCATAGGCTTTCCAAAAAGCTAAATTTTATCAAAATCTGATAAGTGAAAGTGGGTCAAAACAAAGATTTAGTTTGTTACAGGCAAAAGCAGTCATTCAGGCAGTGTGCCTGAGGACTCAGGCAGTTAGTATTAAAGCCCGGTTTTAGGCCTAAAGGGAGGGCTTTGGGTATGTAAGAAAAGTCAGAAAATTTCAACAGCCTCAGACCAATACTTTTTGAGTTATGTAAAAAAAACTACCCCCCCCCAGCGGAAATAGGGTTAATAGTTATGAATTATTCTTTAATTCTTTCTGAAGCATCTCTTTCAATGTGAATAAACAATGAACATTTTTCTCTTTTATAAATTTTGAAATGATCAGAATGTTTTTCATTTTTGTTTCCAAGCATTGTTAGGTAGCCTGGGGACTATATTTTATGAATAGTGAGATTTAGTTGAAACCACTTCAGCCGGCTTAAGTTGAACAGGAGTAGTTTAACTTAGTCTTGCGTAGTTCAACTCACTATTTATTCGCTAAATATTGTAAATCACACGTACAGTTCTCTCCCTATTCTATATTTTGTAGGGTTTTAGAGATACCTAGAGATACCTAGAGATACCTAGAGATACCTAGAGATGCCTAGAGATACCTAGAGAAACTTAGAGATACCTAGAGATACCTAGAGATACCTAGAGATACCTAGAGATACCTAGAGATACCTAGAGATACCTAGAGATATATAGAGATATCTAGAGATACCTAGATCAAGAAAATAATGGAGATATCCTTTTTTTAATTACATTTTCAATTGTTGGTTTTCAATGATAATAACTTGAAATTGATAAATAAATACTAACAGAAAAGTATAATGTTATTTTTGTTGATTTAGAGAAAATAAATGACATTTTGGGTTACAAAAAAAATTTGAAAAGTTTGAAAAAAATGAAAATTGAAATTTTTTTATGTTAACTCTGAAAAAAGATATATCCAGAAATGAACCAACTCGATCTTTTTTCGGTTCGTTTTTTTTCTTTTTTCCTCTTCGGATAAAAATGTTGAATAGATAACTAAAAGTAATTTTTGCAGAATACAATTTGAAATATTGAAACTTTTTAAGCACTTTGTGATGTGAGGGACTAAATCTATAATCGATAAACATCTTTTTAAATCGAACCAAGATATTGCACATCACATTGCTGTCTTTGCATGGAGGGTCACTTAAAAATACGCTTACAGTCCCTTTAAATGGGACCCATGTGTTAGCTCTTGTATTACAGTGAAAATGAAATAAAAAGCAATTAGAACAATGAATCGTAAATTGATCGAAACAAAGTATCTCGAGGAAACAAATTTTAAACTAATTTCCCTCCACATTTTCTACTTGTTGCACAATTTAGATATTGGTGAATTGTTACAACACAATTACTGGATTCTAAAAATTACATTAAATGTATCAATTGAATTTTTTGCCACAAACTCTGATTTTATCATCCCTATATCTTTGCAACCCAAAATTGTTCACCTTGGATATTTCAAACTATCAGTTCTATAAATCAAATAATCTAAGTTTGAAATATCGATGGTTTACATCCTGATGTTACAAAGATATAAAGATTAGAACATTTGAGTTCGTAATAAAATTTTTTTTAAAGATTTTTTTTTATATTTTGACCACTATCACTTTCTGGAGTTCAATAAACTATCATGGTTGACAAAAAAATCGTAAGGAAATCGGTTACAATTTTTCAAATTCTCTGGATGAAAAATCCTAAAAATAACAGATGTTTTTAAAAATCTTACAATTTAGAAAAAATACTATCCTTTAAGAAAGTTTCCTAAAAGCGATATCTCTCGAAAAATGTTTGAGACATGCTAGGATTTTGTTTATATACTAATGTGAGGTCTTTTAGTAATGCATGTTTTCTAAATTAAACTTTAAAACAATGATGACAATTACTTTAATTGGATTGAGAATGCAATTAATTCTGTTTAAACAATTCATGTATACAGTATATGTATTAAATACTTTCTATTGAAATCAAATAAACATTTAACTGCTTCATTGTAATTTTGGATTTTTGTTCGAAACCAAAATAAAAATGTTAGAGTGCGACCCCAAAAAACCGTATGAAAACAAACAAAGAAAGCGTGTGAACTGTCTCAACGTTATACCAAAACTTATATACTTATATAATGGACTTGGAATATATTTCAAGGTTTTAAACAGATCATATTCAGTAAATACGCAACGAATCTGAAAATTACGATAACCCTTAGGAGCCTAAACAGCTTTGGTACGCTCCTATTATAATTTGAATTTAAAAAATTACATTTTTAATAGATATTATTAATAATATAATTTATACGTTTGTTTCACGTGACAAAGAACTTCCACCAATGGCAGTGCATGTATATGATTACTTGCCTCAATCTGTATTTTTGTACTTTCTTAAATAGAACAAATGATTCTTAATCAGTAGCTGACCGGTATCGTGACTCAAAGGAATTGAGTCTTTGCCACACCCTCAACTGTTTTAATTCCTATACCTTTCAACCTAATAGTATAAATCTTCTATTTTTCAAACTTTGATTATTTGATCTAACAGAATTCATGGGACTTTTTAAAGATAGGACATTTTATAGAAGATATTTTATAGACATTTAATATTTATGATGACTTAATCTTTTTCCTCCAAGTAATCTAATCTAATAAATCATACCTTGATCCTTCTACGATCTTTCTGATTTTACTTCACATCTTATTCATATTTTTGCTTTAAACTGATAACATATTATATTGTTGAAAACTTGTCAAACTGATCACATTTTCTAAAATTGTGACACACCTTTTACATACCCAAAACCTTAAATTGAATTTGAAAAAATTGCTTTTGTGTCTTTGAAACTACCTATCTATGATAATTCTTCTCTGTCTATAAAATTTCCTGTCCATGATCAATGTCCTATCTATGAAATGTCCTGTCTTTGAAATTCCCTATCTATGATTTTGTTATTTATGAAATGTCCATCGAAAAAATGTTTTTCCATGAAATGACTCAACTCTGTCAAATTCCGTTCCTGTCCCAGGAATAATCTTGCCACCTCTTGATCTGAGCTACACTGATTCAGTCTTAAGATTCCTGCTGTTGCCCTATGACCAAATTTAAAGAATTTGAGCGGCGGTTTAAATTTAAGCCGCGGTTTAAATATGGCCCATATAGATTCAGTCTGCTTATAAACAGTCTCATCAATTTTTAAGACCAGGTTGACTTTGAAGTGTTGCTACACCCTTAGCTTAGGTTTTACCGCTCTCACTAATACTTTTCTGTAGCCCTTTACATGTACATTTTAGCACTATAAAACACTTTTGTTAGCCTTAAAATTTTAGAGGGTAATTGGCAAAATTCTCAACGATTTTTGCTTGAGAGCTTGAGACCATTAAATCACAGTGGGTTGGTTCCACTTAAAATTGTATCAAATGTTTTAAGATTTAAGCCGGCGCTTAAATTAAACCGGGTTTTGGCGGATTTAAACCGCGGCTCAAATTCTTTAAATTCCATCTCTGAGCTGAGATTTAAAAGAAAACCTTCTATACGCATAGTTCACTTGGGTCTAAAATTAGACCCAATGATTCTAATTGGTTCTGATTTGACCAATGAGAGAGCTCTGACTTTAAAACGGTTGCAAATCAGCTGATAGATGTAGATTTGCTCAGTGTAAATTTCAAAAACTTAAACTTCGCATATGTATATTATTTCCATTGTGTGTTCATTTATTAAATCTAGACAATTTTAACATTACAGATATTTCATGAGGATTTAAATGTAAAAATATAAAAATATTTAAAAAGTTTACGATCTTTAGCGTTTGGAGACATGAGTCTTCATGAGAGTCGAAAAACCAAGTCGATTGGTTTTTACTAATCCCAAGTCTACCATAAACTCGACTCTTAGGTTGAGCATTACTTGGGCTTAAATAGTTGCTTAGACCGGGTTTTACTTGGATTTAAGCTTTTCAAATCTCAGCTCTCTGAATTCATCATGGTTGTGCTTCTGCACTTTACTATCTGCACACTCTCCAATAGAAGGTGTAGATCATTGTTTGGTACTTTTTGACAGAGGGGGCATACTGTGAACCTAAAATAACTTATATTTGATTATATCTAAGATTTATGACATTGGGTTGCAAAGATATATGGAATTTGTTGCAAAAATTTGGAATTTGGAAAACAAGCGTTGAAAATAACCAATTTGGAAAATTATAAAAATTTCTAGGAATTTTTCTGAAACCTTGAAAAGTCCAAATAAGTTTTTGCACATCGACAGAAACATAAAATGACTTAAATTGCAACCCCTATAGAAAAACTGGCACCTGTCCCTTTGCTAGAATATCGGGAAAATCCCTTTATCTTTTTTTAAAATCTTTATTGAATTTAGTCTCTTTAACATAAATTGTAAAATTATGATAATTAAGTTCATGAATTTAAAACAATGTCTTTGAATATACAACATGAGTTAATTCATTTTATAATTTGATTTTATAATTCTATTTTTTACTTTTATTCAAAATCAATATTTATTGAAAATAAATTCACACATCAATTATAGATTAACCTAGATTTTTTTTAATACCCAGAACTTTGGAAACATCAAAAGAATTTATAAAATGTCTTATTCTAAACCTACCATGATAATAGGATTCTACAGATATTTGTTTTTACAATTGAATAACTATATGGAGCTCTTTAAAGCATATTTCATGGCCATCTATTTATTTTTACAATTACTGAGTAGTAGCTATAATAGTATAAAACCGACGAGGTTATAGTGTATAGACTAGAGGGATGATGTACGCTAATCCTTTACTAATTGTACAAGCCAATGAGAATTCAATTTTCCTTGGTACAAGCCAATGTACTCCACTCTCAATGGTCAATCTGTATATTAAAGTACGTGGGGGGATTACAGAAAATATTTATTTTCACTCAAGCATAAATAGGTTTTCAATCAAAAAAAACTTAATAAAACTTTAGACATAATTTAAACTGTAGATTGTTTGATTATGAAGGCACGAACAAATTTTCTCTTTGAAAGTAGATTATTTTAATCGTGATTTCTCAGAAAATTGACTTGCGGAGTTTGCTAATGAAACAATGGCGGAAATTATAAAAATTCAACACCTTTCGAGCTACACATAAGACTACATTATTGAACAGGTATGAAGGGTACCGTTGTGAATTCGTCATGTACTTTTTTAACTAGAGGGCTTCACCTACGAGAGTCCGATTAAAGGGTTTTAAATCATTTGGAATTAGTGATCTATAAGCCTTACTTCTGCAGTCTTTTACGGAGCAATAGTTCATCGTTACCGAGTCAAATTTCAAATTCAAAACCTTCCCATACACTTGTACTTAGAAAGCGTACTAAATATTTGTGTGAACCATAGCCCTAAAATTACCCTATTGTAAGGTCGACTCTGACAAACTGTACCTCCGTTAGACCCTCCGTCCACTTACCAAACCAAACCTTTCCAAGGCTTTCGCGTAGATTATAGATATAAACAAAAACCTCATGGAGCAAAGTGCATTAAAAGAACCAATTTAAACATAATTTTCAGTGAATCATTTCCAAATAAACAGTGAAATTACTTTAACCAGATAAATATTTATTTCAGAAGAATTAAATTGCTTTAGACTTCAGTTCAGTTCACAACAGTGCCTTTTAAAACCTTTATTTATCGATTCACAACAGCAATAAAATATGATCTCCAAATCCTGCAAAACCTGCTAAACCTAGAGTTTCCAAATCCTGCTAAACCTGCTAAACCTACAAAACCTAGAATTCCAATACCTTTTAAGCCTTTGTTCAATTCTCAATGGTACATGTTTCTAAACCAATTGTTCGATTCACAACAATGTTCATTTATTGATAAAACCTTCAACTGTTTAATCTTTATTAACAATTATTATTTATATGCATGTACGCCAATAACAATTTGTATTTTGTAGGAAACCTCGTTTCTGAAATATACATTTTCAAGAAGTTGTTCTCATCTACAGGGTGTCCCACATCATATTAGACCGTCAACGGGTCTAAATTGCAATTTTCGAGACTAATCAGAAAATTTAATAAGAATGAATGATTTTGAAAAATAACATAAGGCTTATATAAGAATTGTCTTGCAAAAAATGATAAGTTTTTCGAGTATTAAGGGTTTATTTTGGCGTTAAAGATTGGAGATAATATTATTTGATATGGGACGCTCTGTATGTGTGTCTGGTAGAAAAGAGTGTTTTCCTTGCCAATTCGCCTTATTTCCCTCTTTCGAGTATTATTCCTTTTGTTCTGCTCACAATTTGATGTTTGTACTGTATGAATAGGCCATTTTCTCTTAACATCCTTTATCAGTAAACTGTCCTATAAGTGTACACTGTACACTCAGGCGGATATACATGTTGTTAACGGCTAGAAAACGAGATTCTCAAGATGGTATGATAATAAGTCAGCTGAAAATCAGTCGTTGAAGGATATATATTCCCAAGAATATTTTCCGAATGCTACAGCAAAAATCGATAACAAAATTCTCTTTATTTTCTAAAAATGACATATAATTGGGGCCGGGTTAACAATGGTTTGAACAGTACTAAAAGACGTTTTAAACTTCTGAAATAAATGACAATTGATTATTAACGAAAGTCACTTATTCTTTATATGAAAATTATTCTTTGTTTAACTTTTGAAAATAGATTCACAACAAGTGAGGCTTTGTTTACATTTATAACTCCGTCGGAGAGGAGACAGAGGAGGGATTGAAATTGTTTGGTTTGGTGTCTCTGTGAGGGAACCTAAGTTAAAGACAACTTTACAACGGAGACATTCATGTTCATGGTTGACAACATGTATAAAACCCATTGAAAACCTGTCAAGAAGACATTTTATAAATTCTTTTAATAATTCAGAAGTTGTGGGATAAACTGTATGTGCCAAGAGTTAAATTAATAGAGGCAAATATGTAAAGAAAGACAGCAAAGAAAGAAATACAATTTTTTAATTTGTAAATAAACGTTTTTATTTTCTCACAATTTTGTAAATCTGAACAATATTTAGCAATACACGTTAATTTTTAAAACTGTCTTTCACTTTTTCTTTTTCTTTTTGAGCATTTAAAGGGAGTGTCTGGCTAGACATGTTAGTTGAGTTGAGAAATATTTTAGGATTCATTAGAGACCTATCAGACGTTTTTACGGTGCTTATTTGTTCAGCAAGAGATGAAATTCAATCTTTAAAATTTTCATTTGTTAGGATGATTTTGAGAACGGTTCAAAAAAACTATTCAAAGACGACCACGAAAAATGTAACTAATTCTACAGTAACCTAATTTGTTGTTTAGGAACAGGTTGAGAAAATAAAAATTAACTCTTATCATTGAAAAGAAAAATCTTATTCAGTTATTGGTTACAGTAATGTCTCATTGTTCACAAATATTTTTTAGATTTCCTGGAATTTTATTGAAAAGAATTCATTTGAAGAATTTGAAGATATCTGCGAATAAATTCTTAAAGCATAAGAAATTTAATATATTGATGAAAAAGAAATAATAACATTGGTTAGTTTACCGTTTTGCTTAACAAATTTGCACCGTAAAAACGTCTATTAGGTCTCTAATAAATCCTAAAATATTTCTCTACAAAACTGCATTCTCAGCTCAACTACCATGTCAAGGCAGACACTCCCTTTAAAGTTGATTAGTTACGACAAAAAAACACCCCCCACCTCAACATTAAAGGTTTAAGTTTATTTCAAAATGGCAGCTCAAGGATGGATCAATTAGTACGAGGTTTCGCCTCACTACACTTTCATTTGACTTTACAGTAAACACAAGTTGATTTGGGAATTTATAGGAAAACAGTTGACTTCAAAGACAAAAATCAAATATTCAATTAAAGTAAAATTTAAAGAAACTTGACACCAGTCCTACAATAGTTTCCGTACAGGCATAATGCAATTAGTGCTTCTCCTCTGCTTTTTCCAACTGTTTAAAGGTAATTCTTCTGGTATAAAAATACGCTTTTCACGCTCACAGAACATGACAGTTGTAATTTGTATAAAGACATCTTGAAGTTAATCTTGGAGCTTTGGAATAATTTACGGCATTTATTAGTAAACAAAACTTTAGTTAGTTCCAACCGATAAAAATTAAAAATTGCAATTAGCCGTTATATAATTTTAAATGTAAGGACGAACGTCCGTTCCGTTAACGGCATTTTCCGTTTTTTAAATTACCGTTAGTTAACGATTTAAATTTTAGAAGTAAAATTCCGGAGTAATAATCACAAAATTCCCTTTATCCTACAAATCAAAAATGTGGTCTGTCTCTTTTTTTGCTTGTATTATATACCGGATTTCGACAATTTTGATTTTATTTTATAAATTGAAATTTAAACGAAATTCTGAATATCTCCGGTAATATTGACATAAAAAGGTAAACCATATTCTGCTTTGCCAGGACTAGGAGAATGTTGAAATTATTGTTTCAAGTAACATGCATGCACGTAAAAGTAGGTTGACAAATGAATATCAGATTTAATTTCAAAGATCAAAGACTACCTATCAGTCGTGGGACACTTTGTGCGAAATAAATTGCTCCTCAGTTTATTTAATCGGTAAAGTTTGTCGTCTTCGATTTTTGTTTGCAGGTATTTTGAATTTTAGCTGATTTGTAACTGCAAATGTTCATTTATTTTAAATAAATGGTTGAGAATTACAAATCCAGCGAACGATATTTTAGAACAACGCATACTAAAGAAGACGACAAACATCCAATACATTTTAGGTTTCACCGAAGTCATGCTTGTTCCTTAAATGCCATTGCCACTCCCTTTGGAAAATAGGGATAAAAAATACTTGAAAAATATTATCGGTTTAAGCACTTGTCTCAATCACAAACTCGACTTCGCTTTATCTTTGCAACCTGGTGTCGCCAACAATAATTCTAAAATCTTTTATTTAGATAAAATGTTGATAATTGGAGAAAAATTGAATGAAGAAGGTAGGCTATTTTAATATGAGGAGTGTGAAATGTGTATGTTGTAAAAAAAGTTAAGATCGAATGAAATTCACAATTTTTTGTTTCTTTGATTTTAATACATTTTTAAAAAGTAATGGGGTCTAAAAACCATAAAATAAGAATAAAATAACTTGTAAAAATAAATTTTTGATTTTCAGTTTCAGCTGAAAACTACTATAATTTGAGAAATCTTTTAAACGATTTAAATATTATATAAAACTTACACCCCTACCTCTAATTGGACTCAACCCCCCCCCCCCCCGTCGTTTACTTGCACGTGTTTATTGTAGAATGTCTTCATTCATGTTTATTTTATTTTATTCAATATTTTATTATTTAATTTATTAAAACATAAACTATCATTAAAATTTATTACAAAGTATAATTTCTGATTTAAAATATCATATTACTTTATCTGTCTGAGATTCATCTTAAAAATTAAAATATTTTTGAAAAAGAAAAGTTTTTTTTTTGTTATCTTAGTTCTTTATTCCCACAATAAGTAAAAAAACATGGATCAACTTTTTTACACATTTATTTCTTTTTTCGGGGTTTTTCCTTTATTTATACAGTAAAGCTCCTCGCTCATATACAATATACAGCCTACAGGGTGAGTAAAACATACAATATACATTATACAGCCTACAGGGTGAGTAAAACATACAATATACATTATACAGCCTACAGGGTGAGTAAAAAAGGAATTAGCGTTGTTTTTAAAACATTTTTTCTGAGGGTTAATGTTGTTTTAAGTGAAATAAAGTGAATCAAATGCAAAAGCATTTTTTCGAACAAAGAAAAAAATGACCGCGAAACTATTTTTTTGTGACAATTCTTCTTCTTTTTAGAAATGGATTAAAAAAAGGTATATTCCAATATATTCCAAAGTTTCATAAAAATCTTTTAATAAAAAAAGAGTTATTCTGTTAATCAAAGTTTAATTTAGAGTTAGGAGTATTTGTAAATAGTAAATATATTTTGGATATTATATTTTTATTTTATTTTGCGCAGATTTGCATTAACAATTTTTGCGGATTTTGTTATATCTCTTTTATTTGGTCAACAGATTTCTATGAAATTTTGAAACAGAAAAAAAGCCTGATTACTTTCCAATAATTTTCTAAAGAAAAAGTTTTTTTACAAGAAAATGTTCCGTGGTATTTTTTTTTACTATGTACTGAAAACGTTTTTTCATTTTGAAAATCAAATTTTATTTCATAAAAAATTTTGTTATGCAAAACAATACACAATACATTTCGCGTTTTTTTTACTGATACTATGTATATGCTGGCCGAACGGCTGAACCAAATTGGTTAAAATCTAGTTTTTTACCTAAACTTCATATATACTAATTTATATATGTATCTATATAAACAAATATAAAATGAGTAATTTGTCAGTTATAACACCACAATCTTTTTAAAACATTTAATCATAAACGCTGTATACAAACATACAGCGTAAGCACTAATTTCACAGTGTGTCCTGCTAGATTCTATCAATATAGTTTAAATGAATAAAATTTTTTATCACAGATGTTTTGCATATTTAAAAATTCACGATAAAAACTGAAAAATTAGCAATATTTTTTAATGCAGTTAGTCAAATTGAACTAAAAATAAAGGTTGGAGATCAGAAACAAATATGCCAAGATAGCAAAATACCATGTATATCTATATATATGTATTTTGTATGTATACATGCAAAATCTTATATATAAATATTTTTTAAACATTATTATTTCCTACTCAATATCCTGCTACTCCAGTGAACTAAATGTGCTCATTAGGTTAGGAAATTATTTCTTTACGTGTTTTTTTAATATCTATTTTTATAATTACCAGGCTTTTTGGGTACTTCGCGTTCATCTTCTATTTAATCTATTTAATTGTGGCTCTATCTGTGACCATCTTCTCTTTAATCTTCAATAACAAAAAAAGTTCACGGATTTACTAATATTTTTTCGCGCATTTTCAAACTTTTTAAAAAATCAAAAACTTTTAGACACCAATTTTTGTAATTTTGACCATCCATAAACCTTCCTTGGGGTCATTTGAGGTCCCACACAAAATTTGGGCCAGATCTGTTAGGCTGCTTTGACATTGGATGTACACAAACAGACGGACAGATAGACAGACAAGACAAGTAGATATATATAGATGGGCAAATTGTTGATTTGATTTGATTTGATCCGGCATGCTGAATTTGTTAAATTAGAAATGGTCTTATTTCTAATATTTGAGTTTTTATTTTTGTGGTTTAACGTACTTAAAAAAAATAATAATTTATTTTTCAGATGCATCTGGTGCTATTGGTGAGTTATATTTTTTTTAAGAAAAAACTTTTTATATTTTTATTTTTTGTGTTTCATGTTTTTCATGAATCTATATTTAGTAAGAATTGGGAATAGTTATTTTCTTCTGGATGAAACTGATCTAGACGATATCTATCCTCTGTTCACGGATAATTCAGAAACTCAGAGACAAAACAGTTCAACGCAAAAACTGGCAAGTTTTTTTAAAAGTTTTTTTCTTTTTCAGTTTTTTAACAATTGTAGGGTCAAGTTTTTTGTGTGTTATTATTTTTTAGAAGTAGCTGTGCACTTTCAATATAAGCGATCGACTATTCTTTTTTATAAGAATTTGCAACAGTATTATTTTGGTCTTCAGTGCAATAAAGCTTTTTATCAAGAAGGTTCAAGTTTTTGAAGCCTTTTAGCATCCGAAAATTTTATAACACGTCGTGCCAAAATAAAGTAATATACAGTGAAACCCTCAATAACGAATACATCGAAAGAATTCATCAAATGTCGTATTCTTCACTTTCTGATAATGGAATGTTGCAGATATTTAGTTTTTTTTAATAAAATGTTTATATTGAACTCTTTAAAACTGTTCCTGCATATTCATGGATATTTATTTATTTTTGCAAATACTGAAATTTAAGTAATATAGAATAAAACTCATTGAAAAATTGTCAAGACGACATTTGATAAATTCTTCCGATATATTCGTTATTAAGGGTTTCAATGTAGGTTATTTTATTAAATGTGTGTGTACTGCGTACTTGTCTTGGTGCAATGGTTATTTCTAGATAAAAAAAGCTTTTTAGCAAAGCAGAAATAAAAAATGAAAATTAATTTCAATTTTATTTTCATTTAAATAAAAAAAATGTTTAGAAAATCCGGGAACCAGTTAAACTTACAGTACCGTGTTATAATATGTACTAATGTAACAATATAGCACGTCTAAAATAAGATTTACTATAAGTGACCATGTGAGTGATATGGTATACACAATTATAGTTTCATAAAAGTCTTTATGTCCTGGGTGGCCTCTTTTTAATCCATGGTGAACATATCCTAAAACCCATATATTCCCAGCTGAGCTGGGGTAAAATTTTCACTATTTTCTTATGAGTTTAAAAGTAAAATATCACCCCAGCTGAGTACGCCTTTCAATATTTGCGCATTTTTTGCTTTGAAGTAAGTTCCCGCATTCTTTTGAATCATCATCTTCAAGCATTAATATTTGGGATTTTCTTTAATATGTACTAAAAAAAGTTTAAACTTTATATTAGATGTTATATAATTGACGTGTCATTTTTGTGTATTTATTTATTTTGAAAGTGTTAACATTTGAATTCATACTTCTTTCTTTCCAGGGCATAAAATTATCTAAAATCCTACTGGTTGAAGGGGACTCGTAGTCGTAAAGTATTTACGCTAAAAACATTTCTTTTTCTCGAGGGTTCTCAACTGTTTTGATGAGATTTTTAACCCTCGTATACGCTCTCTGGTTAAAAATCTCATCTAAAAGGTCTCAAACCCTCTCGAAAAAGAATACTAATTGTAATTTTATCGTGATTCCGTTTTCTTGTTGTAGATCGTTGCAAAGTGTGTAAAATACAAATTTTCTCAATTTATTTTATTATTAAGAAAAAAGAGAGATAATTAGATCGGTTTGCTTTGGCCTTTGTGTTAATCTTTCATTAAAGCCGGCCTTTTATAATTTTCAATACTATTATAATTGCAGTTTTTTCAATTAATGGTTTAGATGTTTATGATTAGCCTTCTTGTTAGGCTGAAGTTGCTTGTTGATATGTAAGTGTTTATAAACAATGTTCAATTATAATAAATTGAAAAATACAAAATATCAACATGATTAATAAACATTTTGCAAAGGAGAACCAATTACAATTTGAAAAAATGGATGATTTTTTTAAATTCAAAAATATAGTTTTTCAACATTAAATTTGGTATTTAGGAAAAGGCAAAAATACCAGAAGAAAAAGCAGAAAAGCCATCTCAGGGTGATGACTATAATTTGCAGGTAATAACATAATTTTCATATCAATACTTTAATATCAATTTTCACGATCAATTTAATATCAATTTTCACGATCAATTTAATATCAATTTTCACGATCAAAAAAATTTTAGCTTGCTTACAATTTTTCAAAACACAGCAAAAGTCATTGCTAAGACAAAACAGGAGAACTCTAGCTTTTAACACTTAACATTAAGCTGTTATATACAGTGTGGTTTCCATCAAATCAGACAAAAAAGAGTTAAAGATCGTCTTTTATAATTAAAACAGCAGGTGTTAGATTATCCCTAGCCTAGGCCATCTGGCTTTTCACAAATGTGATCTGTCTTGTGTGTGCCTACCAGAGTTCATTGAGATCCAATCTGCAACGAAAAGTTGCATCAGTTTTTAGACTGGGTCATCTTTAAAGTGTCGCATCGCCATGGTCTTTGATTTTACCTATTATACTCACTTATACTTTTGTAGCCCTAGACAAGTGCTCTTAAGAAGTATGTGGCAAAATTTTCATAGATTTTTACTAGAGAGTTTCTTTGGAGCACTGTAAGCTATGGAGAATAATGTTGAGATTGCAGTTGATAAAATAAACACAAAAATATCTGAACATCCTGTATCTTCTTTAGAGATACAGTTGTGAACCCTTTCTTTAATACACAAATTATTATACCCGCAACCTAATTTAACGAATTTGAACTGCCTTCCGCCGGCTCAAATTTAAGTCACCGACTTAAATCCTTCCTGAATCTTTAATTTTGAATCGGTGGTTCAAATTTGAAGCTTCGTAACTCAAATTCATTAAGTCCCTGTAAAATTAGGTTTCCAAATAAATGTCGCAAGAAGAGAACATTAAATTTTCTACTTATATTGTCCTGGTTTTTGAGATTTGAGATTTTTGAGGTTTTAAATGGTAAACCTAAGATTTTTTCAGATACCCACTGAACCTTCCTCTACTCGTGGATACAGCAAGTTAATTCAAATTATTTTTATCTTCATAAGATATAATTTTTACATTTAAAATAACATAATAAAATAACGTCAAGTATATTAATATCATATTTATTTATAGAATGATACAAAGCAGATCAATGCAATTTCTCAGGTTTTAAAATTTTCCTTAAAAATTCTAGAATAAGATGAAAAAACATGTTTGTTTAGGACTCATCGGGGATAGATCTTTTGTTGAGAGAACATCTGCCCGGTCAGCACAAATCACCTGACCTCACAACAAAGGTCAGTGTTCAAAATTTGAAAAAGGAAAAGAGTTTATGCCACAAACTCTATTTTAATCCTTATATCGTTGCAACCCGATGTCGTAGACCTTAGATATTTTTAAACTATAGTAATTTTGTTCGATCAAAAAGTCTAAGTTTGAAATATCAGAAATTTACACCATCAGGTTTGCGAAGACATAGGAATTAGAACATTCAAGTTTGTGGAAAAAATTCCGTTCCTTTAGAACAAAATTATCAATCCTTTCACTTGTGATTGGTACAGAACAAAATGTATGTTTATTTTTACAACAATCAATGTATTACGACATTAGATAAACATTTTTTACAAAGAAACAAATGTTTAGGGTTCTACTGTCGGTATGGTTACTACTGATATGAAACAGGAAATAAATGTAAATGATCGGAAACCTAGGTTTCCAAAATCTACTAGTCCTGTTCCACAAGAAACCACGGAAACAACCACGGATGTTACTGGATATTCTAAAGGAACTACGCCAGCTTCAGCTACTGCACCAGAAAATACTTCTTCACCATCAATTGAGTCAACTTCAGTTTCTTCCTTAGAATCTACTTCAGTTCCTTTGGAAGAAACTACTTCAGTTCCTTTGGAAGAATTTACTTCAGTTCCTTTGGAAGAAACTACTTCAGTTCCTTTGGAAGAAACTACTTCAGTTCCTTTGGAAGAAACTACTTCAGTTCCTTTGGAAGAATTTACTTCAGTTCCTTTGGAAGAAACTACTTCAGTTCCTTTGGAAGAATTTACTTCAGTTCCTTTGGAAGAAACCACTTCAGTTCCTTTGGAAGAAACTACTTCAGCTTCTTTGGAAGAATCCACTTCAATCCCTTTGATTGAGTCTACGTTAGATCCTTTATCAGAAACTACATCATCATCAACCACTAATCCTGCTAATATCTCTGAAACCGCTTTAGCAGCAAATGTTACAATTCCGGAAGGAGATAATGTAACTGTTTCATATCCAGATAATTCTACAGTTACTTTTCATTACCAAGAAAAGAAACCTGAAAATGATACAACAATCGTGCCTGGAGAGAAAACAAATGAAACGTCTGCTGAAACGACCACAACATCAACACTGGCACAGGTCACAAAAAAAGATAAAAATCTTCTTTTTCTTAAAATCGATATGTCTTCTATATGCAAAAAGAAGTATTCTTTTTTTGTTTAATTGTCCTATCATAACTTATGAATCACTAGACCGATTTCCTTAAAATTGGAAAACAAAATTGTTCCGTTTTGACGTTTATTGGATACAAGCGGTCAGACAGACAAGCAAAGTTGATAATAGATTATGCATAATTATGTTAATTTTATTTTAGAATGGATCTGACGCTAGTACAAGTTCTTCTCCAACTGTAAAGGGATACGAGTCTATTATCAAAGTAAGTTACTTTCAAAGTATAGATTTTGATTTTTTATATTTATTTAATTTACAAAATTTCAAACATCTGTATACAGTTTTTACAGTAGTTAAATTATATTCAATTACAAATTACACGTTGTACAATACTTAAATAGTTAACTTCTTGAATTAATTAAAATAATCAAACTTCCAAATATAATCTGAAAAATCAACTTCCTAATAAGATCTGTAAAATCAAACTTCCTAATGTATAATCAGTAAAATCAAACTTTTTAATGTTATCTGTAAAATCTAACTTCCTAATATATAATCTGTAAAATCAAACTTCCTGATATAATCTCTAAAATCAAACTTTCAAATATAATCTGTAAAATAAAACTTCCTAATATAATCTGCAAAATCAACTTTCCTAATATAATGATATAATCTGTAAAATCAAATTTACTTATATAATCTGTAAATCCAACTTCCTAATATAATCTGTAAAATCAAACTTCCTAATATAATCTGTAAAATCAAACTTCCTAATATATAATCTCTAAAATCAAACTTCCTAATATAATCTCTAAAATCAAACTTCCTAATATAATCTCTAAAATCAAACTTCCTGATATAATCTCTAAAATCAAACTTCCTAATATAAAATCTCTAAAATCAAACTTCCTAATATAATCTGTAAAATCAAACTTCCTGATATAATCTCTAAAATCAAACTTCCTGATATAATCTGTAAAATAAAACTTCCTAATATAATCTGCAAAATCAACTTATCTAATATAATCTGTAAAATCAAATTTACTTATATAATCTGTAAATCCAATTCTTCCTGATATAATCTGTAAATTAAAACTTCCTAATATAATCTTCAAAATCAACTTCGTAATATAATCTGCAAAATACTAAAAATGTTTTCTTCAATGTGAGAATGATTTAAAAATGCATGTGCTCATTTTTCCCCTCTAGATGTAAAATGTTTTTTTGTTGTTAATAGTTGTGTTGTTTAGGATAAATGTGAATATCCAGCAGATCATATATTCTGCAATTTGAAGGTATTTTGCAAAAATAAATTTGATTTATAATTTGTACAAAATTTAATAATTATGAGAAAAGGAAATTTCGAATCCATGTATTTTTGCAACCTAACGGTGTAAAAACTTGGTTCATTTGATCTAACATAATTCATAGTTTGAAATATCTTAGATCTACGACATGGGCGTCAAAGATACAGTGATAAAAAATCAGAGTTTGTGGCAAAGAATCAATTTCTTTTATTTTGTTTGCAAATTTACAAGAAACTTTAAGAGATTGAAGTGTTAAAACTAATTATTCCGTTAACATTTTTTTATTTCGTTTTTTCCAGGAGCCAGCACCCGAATGCAACATAATATATAACAATATGTCTCAAGATCTTCAAAACAAGATACTAGATAAGTATGTTTGTTCATTTTTATTCATTAGTTTAAATTAACCTTTTGATTTTGATCTGTTCGTGTAGGCACAATCAGCTCAGGAGACAGTTTGCTAAGGGAATAGATACAAACATGAAGCCAGCTGCGAACATGAAGAAATTGGTGAATAACATCATAAAAAAGAATTATTTTCCAAAAAAGCATAAAAACAAAACAAAAAAAATCAATCTGAAAATTGATGGTTCGATAGTATACTCAGATAAAGGTCTAGATACCATTGTGAATCGGACATACAACTCTGTGATTTTAACTTTATTTTTGTTAAGGTTTGGGACAATGAATTAGCAGCCAGTGCACAGCTATGGGCAGATCAGTGTACTAATAAGCATTTACCTTTTGGGTTTCAGAAACTAAATGATTCAAGTAAGATCAAAAGTTATAATTTTGTCACACCATTAGATAAATACACGATTAAGTTCTGGATATAGGCTTGACATTCATGGTAACGCGTTGTGCTTTAAAGAGGTTATACAGAATTAACTATTAACATTTTGTTAATTGCATTTTTATACCAATAATTTTTAAATAGTTTTTTCATGAAATTTTTAAAGAAAAAACGTGCTTAAAAAAAGCTAAAAATAAGTCTGAATAAATTCTGCACAGTTGTCATAAGATTTGATTTCGTGAAAATTTTATTGGCACACCATAATATCAAAATGTTGTGTCAAATAGTACTGTGGACGTTAGTACCTTTTTTAAATTCTAAAAATTGAATTTAAGTAGCTAACAGTCTTAGGTACTTTCCCAAAGGCTTTTTTCTTAAGGGTGACTTCCCAAAGGAAAACTTCCCAAAGGACAACTTACCTAGTGGCAACTTCCCAAATGTAAATTGGAGGTTATGTTTGGCCTTTGCAAAAGGGGGCCGAGCGCTGTGACTAGAATATGCTAGGGTCTGACTGCTGCGTCTAGAACAGACTTGGGAAGTTGCAGCTTAGGAAATTAAACATTTTGGAGGTTGCTACTAGGGGAAGTACCAAACATTCTTCCTGATTTTGTGTGTTTGTTAATTTCTAATTGTTCTTGTTTAGTTAAAATGAACACTGAGAACTTATACCATATCTCCGGTTCAAAAAGTTTGGATTATTCTTCAGTTGGGTAGAATTATTTATTTTTCAATTGAAACAGTTTAATCTTGGAAATATCAACAAATTTAGAATAATTTATAAATTTAAACAATTTAGTTGGAAAAGAAGTTGAATAAGGGAATACAGGCCTGGTATGATGAAATAACTTTGTATGAATCTCCTAATAATGAAAAGTTTATGTAAGTATTTAATTTGTAAATTTTGTAAATTTTGTAAATTTTGTAAAACACAAATCTGTTGCTTTTTTGGATTTTTTAGTTACACCCGAGAGGGGTTTCCCTAATACATAATACAAATATTGATAAAATTTGAAAAGTTGGAGGATGATGTTTCATAGTTTGCTAGGACCGGGGACAATTCATACCTACATTTCTCGGCCATTGTTTGGGCAGACAATCAGCTGATGGGATGTGGTTTGGCGCATTTTCAGGTGAAACAAAAACACGTTGAATTTTCATATTTGACTTTCAACTCTGGGCTGGTGTTTATCTCACCCTAACGTTTAAACCAGTTCAACGTATAATGTTAGAGAAAAATGTTAAAACATTTAAACGTATTAGCTTTAACATAATTAAATGTGCAATTAGTCGTAAAACTTATTTCAAAGGAAGAAAACGCAAAGCAAAGTTATTTCCTCTGAATAGAAAAATTACAAAAGAAGAAAATTTTCCCGATTTTTGTAAATAACTATTTTATTGGTTCGATCGTTACATATTTATCATACTTTGTTATTGTTCTTTCACAAGTTTTTTTTTCCAGATTTTTAAATTTCTTGCGTCTAGACTTAAAACAGGCCTTATATTACTAAAAACAAATTTTATTTAGATATTATTAATTCTAAAAATAAAGGAATTGAGTCTTTGCTATAATCTCTGATTTTCTAACCCCTATATCTTTGCAACCTAATGGCGTAGACCTTAGATATTTCAAAATATGAATTCTGTAAGATCGAATAATGTAAGTTTGAAATATCAAAGGTTTACATGATCCAGTTGCAAAGATATAGTAATTAGTAAAAACTAAATTCCTTTGTAAACCAAAACTATATACAAAATACGATATGAAAAATGTTTTTTAGGAAAAAATGTTTTCTACCCTGTTGGTTTGTCATTATGATATCGGGAATATCGAGACCTATGAATTTTACAAGTAAGTTTAATCTTATCTTAAATTTACCAAATGTTTATGTTTTTTTTTCTTCAATTAATGTGTTTATTATACTTAATTTAGCCTTTACGAAATCCGATTTAAAAAAGGTTTTGTTTAAAACAATATTTAATAGTGTGTTAATTCAAATGTTAAAGTTTCAAAAACGCAGTTTCTTATTTATATTATTTTAAAGCTTTATGAAAACAAATCAGCATTACACATTAAGTAAGATAGATACAATGGTTTGGGTTTATTGAGTGAATATCATTTGAAATTGCACTAAAACATAATTTTTTTTAAACATACAAATTAAATTGTTGCTTCTGTCTTAGATTTTATCAGATTGATTTTGATGATTATATAGATTTAACTAAGCCAACAAATATATTTGAAAATTTCTTTTGATCTAAAATCGCGTATTGAGCAGTTGACAACTTTTTTGTTTTTGTGTTTAACATAGATTAACAATTAACATTAGGAATTGATTAACTTTCGGAGTTTTCCTAAAATATGAGTGTTATTATTTAATACAAAAGTGTGTGTTCTACCCATTTCTTATTAAGCTATTTAATATTTCTTGTTTATTTTTCGTTAATCTATTTTCAATGTTTTGAAAGTAACAAAAATCGATGCCTTCTTCTATCGCTAACCTGATTTTCATGTTTTGTTCTAAACAAAACTAAAATTTTAAATAATATTTTCAGGGCTGGTGCCCCCTGTTCTAGTTGTGAGGAAGGATACATATGTGATGATGGTTTATGTTCTAAACAGTAGAATAATGTACTCTGATGTACTGATTACATGCAGTACATATTGTACTACAGCTGAAATACTTTGTTCCATGGACTTTCTGTTTTTTAAAATTTACTAGATTTATTTATGAATGCATTCAATCACATATTGTTTATTATCAAGAAAATAAATATTGGAAATTTTTTATTTTGTGTATTTATTAAATAAAGACTGCACGCACTGTGATCTAGCCAGGTTTAATTTGTTGCAGAAAATTATGGTTTGTTTTAGTGTAAATTACATAAAAAATAATGATAACGATATATAAATTTTAACTGTAAAAATATAATCGATTCTGTCATGAAAATCAGAATTAACTGTTACAATTCTATGAAAGGATCATCTAATTACAAAAATTTGAAATTTCTGTTTGTCTGTTCGATCATAACTCATAAACCCCTTGACCGATTTGCCTAAACTGGGAAGACCCAAGGGAATGTTCTTAGCTTTATTTTGAAATTCTAAATTGAAATCGTAATTCGTAATTTACGACCAAGCGCGGGTAAATGGCGGGAGTAACTATGAGTACCCTGAGCAATGCTGGGTTCTGAAGCTAGTTTTTAATGAAATAATATGTATTTTTGAGAGGGGGGATCTCCCCCCCTTTTTCCCGTTCAATGCCCCAGCTCTGAAGTTCCCCCCGGTCAACGTGTTCTGATGTTGACATGTGCTTGAAATAAATGGATTTTCTATCTTTCTAACTACTCATATAATGGAGGGAGGGGCAGTATACAGGGGGTCAAACAAATAATGATCGTAGTGAAATATACAGGGGGTCAAACAAATAATGATCGTAGTGAAATATACAAGGGGTCAAACAAATAATGATCGTAGTGAAATATACAAGGGGTCAAACATATAATGGAGGGAGGGAAATATACAGGGGGTCAAACAAATAATGGAGGGAGGGAAGTATACAGGGGGTCAAACAAATAATGGAGGGAGGGAAGTATACAGGGGGTCAATCAAATATTGGAGGGAGGGAAGTATACAGGGGGTCAAAGAAAAAATGGAGTGTGAGCAGTATAAAGGGGGTCAACCAAGTAATGGGGGGAGGACTGTATACAGGGGTTCAATCAAATAATGGAGGGAAGGAAGTTTACAGGGTGTCAAACATATAATAGAGGGAGGGCTGTATACAGGGGTTCAAAGAAATAATGGAGGGAAGGAAGTAAACAGATAATGTCGATGGGCATCATTTTTGGTGTTTGACCCAATAGTGCACCTGTCTCTTTAGTCTTTACACCCACCAACCCCCTGGCTACGGGCCTGAAAGATGAATAAATTCAAATACCACGCAACCTCTATCTTTTGTTTTAATAAGAGGTTGCGTGGGAAATTTTTGGTTACGAGCAAGGAATAAAATTAAAGAGGACTGCACACTGTAAACTAACACAATGAATTATATATTCTGATTAAGTACTTAGGAGATACCTATGTTAGAATTTGGAAATTTGATTGTTTTGAATTCTCGGTTCTGTACAAAAGTGACTTGCGCATTTCTATGCTGCAGGAAAGCACACTACAGGAATTAAACATTTTTAAACGTCTAGAAACTTCGCATTATTGATCAGTTGAAGGTTTTAAGAGTATCATTGTAAATAAGGCATATCGTCTTTGCATAAAGGGTCACTTAAATTTAGGCTTATAGTCTCTTTAAACATGTATGCATTTTGTTATTTGATGCATTTTCTGTTCCCAGGACCTTAAACAATTTTTTATTACGTAAAATTGACATTTCCTTAAATACCTCTACCACCTCTACTTTTACTGAGAATCCAGATTAGAAAATAATAAATTTTTAAATGGAAAAGAATATTTCATTCATTCTTAATAAAAGAAAAGATTACAAGGTGCCGTAGTGAAATTAGGTGTACAGTCTCTTTAAAGTTAAATTGGCCTGCTAGGGTGCATGCAATATTATGAACCTCCTCCCTTAGTTTACACTTTTTGCTTCATCAGCAATATCTTAGTTTAGCTAATTAATATTGAAACACGAAGGTAGGAATCCTCCCCCGTAAAATCAAGATGTAAGCACCGGCTCTAATTTTTAGTGTTTGACAACTAGTTGCAGACTATGATGATACAAAAAAAGCATAGCATTTGTCAACTGCTCAAAAAAACAACATTTTTACACCTTTTCATGGTCGATTCAAACTGTTATGGAGAGTTCCATAGTTTTTCAAGACTGGGTCATCTTTCAGGTGTAGCAGCCCTTTGCCTCAGTTATTCACTTATACATTTACATTTTTAACTTCAGTTTTTAAAAAGTAATTGGCAAAATTCTCATAGATTATTACGTGACAGCTTGTAACTTTTGGATCATAAATGACAATTGCATGAGAGATGACAAAAAGTGCCTTTCAACAAAACAACAAAATTTGGAAAAGAAAATCAAACCTAAATTATATCAATATTAATCAAAATGGTCGTTTCAATATATTTTGTAATTTTTTCTTGTTTTATTAGTTTTACACCGTGTTAGTCTGCAACATGTCAACATTTACAATATTGTATTTACGCTTTCCTACTCTTAATACGATCATGGATTTTTATAATACTATGCTTCAATGGCGCTTCGCGCCACCCTTTCTTAACTGTTGCTTTAACGGCAACAATTTTTATTTGAGATTGTCAAAACTGAAGTAGCGTAATTGTATTCGTGGATTTTTCTCTGATTTCCAATTTCCAAACCAAAAAGTGAAAGTATTCACCACAAACTATAATTTTTTTATCTTTGCAACCCGATGTAGTAGAGCTTTAATATTTTAAACTATGAATTCAGTCAGAGCAAAATGTTTAAGTTTGAATTTTTAAGGTTTATACACTGCATGTAAAGATGTAAATTTAATTAGAAAATTGGGATTTGTTCCAAAAACTCAGTTCCTATATAGTATACATAGAACCAATCTGGTCCAATATACTATATAGTATAAATAGAACCAATCAGGACCAATATACTATATAGTATACATAGAACCAATCTGGTCCAATATACTATATAGTATACATAGAACCAATCTGGTCCAATATACTATATAGTATAAATAGAACCAATCTGGTTCAAAACATTTATATAAAATGGTACAATTTCAAATGAAAATGGCTGTAAGCACAATTTCACCGGATGAAAATGCTCGATTCAGAACAAAATGACCTCAAAAGCTTTGTCTGATCAAGTATAAGTTAAATATTAATAATCATAATTTTGAAAAAGGATTGTTTTCAATTGTGGTTTCTCTATCAAAATGACTTGCACATTTATGCTACAGGAAAAATATAGAAATTATCAGAAGGAAGCACTTTTAAACTTTTAAATAGAAAAACGGAAATATCTTCTATACCCTAAGAGAAAAGAATATATATTAGAGAGGAATTTAGAAAATCCCTTAGTATGAATTTTGCAGTCCCTTTCAGCCTGAAAGGGAGTTCAAAGTGTACAAATCATGTAAATGTTCACAAATTATATGCAGTAGAGTACATTAATACAGTATGTTCCCTAGACTATCCATTTCAATTTCGAATTTTTTAAAGCTGTTAAATAAACTTTATAAATGAATTAGGTAAATAAAAAATAATTGATTTGTAGTTATAACGGAAAATCATCTTTTGTAAAGTAAAAGGCATAGAGCCTATGTGAAATGATCATTGGTCAATTATGAAACCAACCTATTTCATAATTTGGTTTTCTTTTAACATTAATTTTAGATTTTCTATAAAATAATGTTCCAGGGCCCAAAAGGTTATATGGCGAAAATATGTGAAGTACACCTGCAGTATGGAAACAGTACAACAAAATGGCCGTTTTACACTTTTTTCTAGTAAATTCCCCTGAAATATATATTCTATTCTCTATGCTTCTTCCTTATTGATGAGATAAATGTTTCGATGCCGGATACCGCTGTGAATGCTGTGAATCGGATATTTTCATATACCATGAAGGACGACGTGAAAATACGCTTACAGTCCCTTTAAATTTATTATGATATCTACATTATTCTAATGTTGTATGGATCTTGCAGCTGAAACTCCAAAAATTAATGTCACGCTCATTTAGAGCGAAATTGTTCTCTTGTACGGGGGGGGGGGGTGTTATACACCCCGAGTAATATCATGTTAATTTGGTGATTCTTGTTGTTTGGCATTTCTGCATTACGGGGTTTGAAGCAACGTCAAGTAAGATTGAAATCCTATATGGTTTCAATAGGATATAAAATATATATGTTTGTAACCGGATTTTGCTTATTTCATATGCGTGCATAAAATCAAAACTGGAGGCCGGAGCAAAGAGGTCACAAAGTCCTCGCAGTAATAAAGCATGATTTTGCTACTTTCTAGTTTACAGCATCGGCAAATATTACGAAAAATTTACTTTTTTATCAATTATAAAAATCCTAATTCTAGAAGTAGTTTTTCACCTTCAACTGCTAGTAATAATAAACACTACTTTTTGAATAACTCATTAGTTTAATAAAAAACTGTTATATTTAAAAGCAAAATTCTTGTTTACATAATTTATGTGATTATTTTAGTTCATAATTAGGGAGTTCTGAACAATTCGGCAAAAACCTGTCCGAATATTTTTCATTTCCTAGATTTCAAAATGTGAAACCAAAGAGAGAAAATGAGACTGCGATGCATTTTTAGAACAGAGTTTTTTAGCCCTTGTTTTAAAAAAAGGTTGTTTTGCAGATTTACAAGTAATATGAGTACAAACAAGCTGTACAGTAAGTTGTACTCGTTACGGAAATTATCAAAATGATTTAGTTACTGGGATTTCTGAGTAATCTGAGTACATGCACAGTGCACGGTAAGCTGTACTCTGTACGGAAATATAAAATGTTTTAGCAGATTTCTCTAGTTTCTAACTCGGCAGATGTCGGCTAATGCATTTAACCATTTAATACATATGTCTTGGGGACACACAACTTTTTAAAACAAAAAAATCGAATATTGTTTAATATTTACAATTTATCAAGCTAGGTATCATATCATGTTGATTTAAATTCATCAGAAAGGGTTATTTTTAATAATATCTGATCAAATTGTGCAAAAATAAACAAAAATCAAGTATCAGAATTCAGATGCAATTTCTTTCTTCTACTGAACTTCATTAGCTGTCCAATATCGCCAATTCTAAAATTGCC